CAGATTCATTGTCCTCTTCCAGAATAAACAGAGCCCCCTCTCTGTTGCCCCTCAGCAGGGGTGGAGAACTGGCCCCCATCCAGGGATATGGGAGGCAGCCTTCCCTACCACTCACTCACCCAGACATTGATCAAGCAGGGCTGTAAGTTCAAAGTCAGAAGGAGAGATACTGCTGAGATACTGGCACAGGTCACAACCACACATGATCCCAACAGTCTCATTCTAGGATTCCATAGACATCTCAGCAGCCCCACTGAGGGTCAGGCATTTGGTCATTCACTGTTACCCAGACATTTCCCAAGGTGTATTCTGTGTCAGGTGTCATGCTGGGTGTTGGACTCATGTACTCACTCATAACCATCCACAGCCACCTAGAAGTGTCTCTAGCCCCCAACCACCTTCACACAGGCACCAAGGGCTTAAAGTGTGGGCTCTGGAGCTACACTGCCTGGGTTCAAGTCAAAGTTCCTCTGTTTAGAGGTTGAACAAACTCACATTATGCTTCTCAGTTTCCCTGACTGTAAAATAGGAATAATAGTGATGAAAAGAAAGATGATGAAGATTTGAAAGCCTAGAAAGCAACAGAATAGTTTGCAGATTGAGCCCAATAAACATTAGCTGTTAATGTTGTGCCTGTGGCTTTGTTGCATGTTTCTCTTGATCGTTACCTGAGGGTGGACCTTTTGGGGTGGCTGTTAAGATAGCAGTGTGGCCTCTGCATCCTCTTCCCACACCTGGCCCTGGAGAACCCAGCCTATCATTCGGACCCCTTCCGGTCTGATCCCCCATCCTGTCTGATCCAATTCACACCACTTTGCCCAGGATCTCAGTTTGGGAAGGGCAGCAGAAGGCGTCCCAATGTCTCTTGTTCTTGATCTTTTGTTTTCTGCTCTGCCAGAAAGAAACTAAAAGCAGAGCTGGTGGAGAGTCTGGTGGCCGTGTGGACCAGTCTCACTCCCCACTTGGGGCCTCAGTTTCCACCTGCAACCTGTAAAACTGGCAGCTTCTCCTGAGGTATCTCCCAGGTCTGACTTGAGTGATGCCTCCCCACGGGCATCCTCCTCACCCACCCCAGCGTCTGCTTCCTCCCACCCCACTAGTCTGGTCCGTCAGTGAGGGGGCGAGATGTCACAGTCACCATGGGGACTAATCTCCAGGAAGGTCAGCGAGGCTCCAGGCTGCCTTGGCTGGATGGGGATTAGCACCTGGGTATGAACCCCCTCTCAGTGTCTCCACTCCCAGGTCCCCCCACCTGAACCCACAACCTGGGCAGCCTCCCAGCCCAGAAGTCTCAAGGCTGGGCGGAATCCACAGAGTGAGTTGGAGCAGGTCAGATCGGTCTGCCTGTACCCAGAAGAGAAAGAGATTGAGAATGTGGAGTCAGACCCGTGCCCCTCAGTTCCCAGCCAGGGCCAGAGGGACCCCAAGCCCACGTCTCTCCAATCTTCCCCTTTTAGTGGAGGGAGACAGCCCCCTCATGGTGGTGGCATCACCTTGCCTCCAGGCCAGGCTGCTGCCATTTACAGTCTATAAGTCATTTCTCCTCCCTCTGTTGGGGGGTAATTTCTGTCTCCCTGTGAGGTGTCAGGTGGTATAAACAGTTTTATTTGAATCCAGCAGGAGGTGCCTTGGAAGAAAAGCCTGGCTAATTTGCTTCTGAAAGGTCAGTCATGAAAAGGCCATGGAGTAATTGTGCTTAGAAACACATGGTGTCACTGAGACAGAATCAAGCAGAAAGCAACAGTTTAATGTAGAGTGGGACAATTGTCGTTTTCGACTCCCAGCAACAACAGATTGGAACCTTGGCCCAGACTGCGCCACCCTCGTGATCCACCACGTTGGAGTCCGTTGTTACAGTCACTGGGCCAATCCATCTCCTTCTTGGTGAGGGCCTTCCTCTCTTTCTTTGACCCTTCACCTTTCCCAGCATGATATCTTTTTCCAAGGACTGGCCCTCCTGACAACATATCCAAGTTATATGGGATGGGGCCTGATTTCACATAGCCTCCTCGCCCCAGCTCTGGTTGGCCCAAGCTCTTCAAATCCCTCCATCTCTCTGCAGTCTGAATGTGTCTCTATCTCATTGTGTGTCTCTCCATCTCTCCTGTGGTTTATTGCTGCAGACACCCGCCTCTCTCTTGTCTCTTGCTCTCAGGTTCTTTGGGCCTCCGAAACCTCTCCTATGGCTCTCCCAGCCTGCCAGGCTGCATTTTCTGTCTGTCTATCCATCTGTCCTGTGTTCTCTGGTCTCCTCCTCATCCTTTCTCCTCTCCATTTCTCTTAGGTCACGACTCTCTTCCAGCTGCTGGGCCCTGTTCCCCTTGCTCCCACCTGTCCCCTCCCCCACCCAGGGCACTGACAGGGATAACAGGAAGCAGGCTCTGCCTTTGAGCAGGAGGGGGAGGGGACTGCCTCGCACACCAGCTGCTGAACACGGCCCCCCCACCCCAGCCCCGCACCTGCAGGCCTGCCTGGCGCCTAGAGACTCCACCCCAGCATGGCAGGGGAGGAGGGACCTGGGTGAGACCAGAGCCCTGGTCACAGGAAATGCGGGCCTGGTGTGAGGGTGGGGGCAGGAGGGTGCAGAACTGGAGAAAATTAGGAGCTGGGGGAAGGGCAGTGGAAGGAGACCGCAGCTCACTTGGGTGTTTCATTTTTGTGTATGGTGAAGGAGCAGAGGTATCATTCTCTCCTGGGGCAGATCTCTTAGTTGTAAAGCCCTAGTACCAGCCAGAGCAGAGCTCTGGGGCCTTCTTATGATGGGAAGAGATGAGAGGGAGCCCTCAAAGACACAGGGAAGATGTGCCAGCCCCATGCCAGGCCCCTGTTAGGAAAACAATTTGTTGCCAAACAGAGAGTATTGGCTGGCCTTGGGCCTGGTCAGGAGGCCAGGCCGGCCAGGGGACCAGCACCCGGGCTCCCAGGCTCCAGCCGCTCCACAAGAAGCACCCTCCCCGCCCCCCACCACCACCTGGGATCAGTCAGAGCCATCTCAGCCCTCCCCACCTCCTCTGGGCCAAGCACTCAGCAGGCCTGCGGCGCCTGCGGGTAGCTGGGTGAGGGGTTTTCATGTGGAGGAGGGCTGGCAGAGGGACAAACGCCAACGCTTCCAGAAGCATCTAATTTGGAGCAGGAAGGCATGAGCCACTTCTGTCCCTGGTTTCTCATCTCTCCAGGGGCTTCTCCAGCTGCCTGTGCGTGAGGGTGCTGTCCCTCCCCATCATGCTTCTCCACCTCTGGAGAAGACATTCTTTATTGCTGTCCAAGGAGCCTGACACCCGCTCCCCACCTCCCCCCTGCCCCTCTCCCAATATTGTAGAGGGCATGCTCACGGGAGCCGGGGCCTCGGGGAGACCTCAGCTCTGTGCTTTCCACGCAGACCAGGGGGCCATGCCTTCTCTGACCTCTCTCCCCTTGGATCTGAGCGCTTGGGGTACCTGGGAAGGGGGATGATCCGTTCCAGGTGTGTGTGGGGGATGGTCACCAAGTTCCACCCCTACCCTCAGTGAACTGGAAGAGGGTGGAGGTTAGGAGCCTGGGGAGGTGGTGCACTGCTGGGCCCCTTGTTTGTCTGTTACCGTCTGTCTGTCCATCTGCCTCAGACACAAGCAGACGGAAAAGGCAGGACGTCAGCACCAGAACACCAAGCTTGCACTGCAGGAGCTGACTGAAGTATCTTTTTTGGCCTTCAGCTCACCTACCCAGGCTGTCCCCACCATACACGACCTGAGCGCTTCCCCCGCCCCCCCCCGGGTGTCTGTCAGAGACCCAGGAACCTGGATATGGGGGACGGGGAGGCCCTCTGGGGAGACAGGACCGGCTCCTCCTTGTGCAAGTGGATAACCGACAATCGCTGAGAGGCCAGGAAATTATTTGTCCAAGCCACAGAAGTAGCAGGACACAGGTCCAGACTTGGGGTGTCCACACCACAGCCTCTCTGCTGCCCCCCAGGAGCCTGCGGGCCTGGATTCACGAGAACTGGCCGGGCAGCCGGGCAGGGAGGCGGGCGGGGGACCCGGATCTCTCTGGGGAGCGCCTGGCCTCCCAACCCGGATGGCGGCGGCAGGTGGCTGCTTGGTGGCTCTGCCGGCCCGGTGCTGAGAGGCCGCCCCCGCCTCACGCGAGCCGAACGAACAAAACGCTCAGGTCCGGTTTGTGCGAGGGGCTCGTCGCGGGCCGGGAGCGGAGGCCCGGGGCCGGGCTGGGGCCTGGGAGGTCGCCGGCTGCTCTCTCTGGTCCGCTCCGTCGCTCACCTGCGCGCACCTGCGGCTGACACGTCGGCGGCAGCGGCCACTGCCGCTGCGCGCCGGCCCGCCCTCCCTCCCTCCGTGCGCGCCCTCCGCCGGCCGCCCGGCCTGGATGCGTCCCCGTCCCCGCCCCGGACCTGGAGCCTCGGCCGGGCTCCGCGCCTCTTATACGGCCGGCCAGCCCCCGCCCCGAGACGCGCGCTCACACCTGTCCCGGCGCCCGTTTGCTCGGGGCAAATATTGACTCAGAGGAGGCGGAGCGTCCCTCCCCGCCCCCACCAGCCCGGCCGCAGAGCCTCCCAGGCCTTAGCGAGGGAGGGGGGCCGGGGGCCGGGACCCGGGCGCCTCTGCAACAACACCAGATGTCACTTTTCCACCCACCTGCCCGGGCGGGGGGGGGGACCGGTAGTGGACAGAGCCGCGGGGAGGGGGCCTGGGGGCAGCACAGAGGTGGGGGACCCAGGGAAGGTGGGACAGCCCGACAGTCCCGGCCTGGGGATCCAGAGTCACCGCGGGAGTCGCTCAGTAGGGCTAATGGCCTGCCGTCTGGTGGCGGCTTCCCCGTGCGCCCCGGCGCCTCTGGGCTCCGCTCCTTCCCGACCTCTCAGCTGGCAGCTCCGAGAGAAAGGCTGACACAGAGGGCACCGGCCTCGGGGCTGCCACCCCAGGAAGCGGGTAGAGGTGGCCGCCCCACCTCGAGGCCACCTGCCTGACTGGCTCTCAGCTAGTGTCCCCGGTGGGGCGCATCGGGGCTCAGGGCAGCCAGCCGTGAGGCACAGTGGCGAGGCGCATCCTCGGGTCCCTAGACCCCCCGGGGTCATTGTGGGCAGCCCTGGGACTCCTCCTCTGTCCATCCCGAAGCAAACAGTCAAAGATATAGGGAAAAAGATCAAAATGCTTTATTGAGGAGGTAGGGGTGAGGGTCGGGGTGGGGCTAGGGCTGCGGGTGCGAGGGACCGGCCTCGCCCCTCCGCAGATATCCTGGTGTGGGGAGGAGCCGGGCGGGGCAACTCCTTGCGCTGATACTGCACTTGGGGGGGTCTGCGGTGGCTCCGGGGTCACTATCCTGGAAGACAGGAGGCCTTAGGCAGGGGTGCCGAGGGGGCTGCGCTCTCCAGCCGCCCGCGCGTCGCCAGGCCCGAGCGTCCCCACCTGGACGCGCCAAGTGGCGGCAGGGTGATGACGCGCTGCCGCGAGGTGAGCACCACCTCCCCGCGGCTGGCTTCCACCAGGACGTTCTGGATCATGTTCAGCAGCAGCTCCTCCTGCAGGTTGGCGAAGGCCGGGAGCCTGTGGGCGGAGCGGGGCGACACCCGGGTCAGCCACGCCCGCAGGAGGGGGGAGGGAGGGGCGCATCTCCTCTCACCAGCATGAGCAGTGCTTTACCTGCACGTGCTGTGCTGGGGGTCACGCCCACCACCCCTCCCCAGTGCCACGGCCCACCTTTGTTCCAATTTCACGCACTCACACTTGTAGCGAAGAGGCCTAGCGGCCAGTGAAAGCACTCTGCTCGTAGAAGGGGAAGTGGGGTTGCAACCCAAGCAACCTTTCTCCAAACCGCAGTGTCAGGTTTGGAAAAGGCAGATAAGGAAAGCGTATAAGGGTGCAAATGGCACTGAGTGGGGCTTCAGGAATCCCGGCAAGCACCAAAAACACCCACAACGCAAGACTGGGGGTAGGTGGCGCAGGACACCATGTTCTCTCTTGGCTGTAGAAACCCATTTAAAAGATGCCAGACACCCTCCTGGCCCTGGTGTGCTGGTGAGGGTTAACACTTGGTTTTCCGAAGGAAAGAAACCAGTCACAAAACCTCAAATCTCACCTTGTCATTTAACTTCTCCATTCTGCTCTGTGGAGGCCTTAAACTACCCACCTGACCCGGGAAGAGCTACACACCTGGCAGCAGCCCGCCCAGCTCACCACTACATCCGGGTTCCTCTCCCAGGCCCCACCAGGGCTCTGCTGCTCACCGACTGATGGCCTCCTTCTCATCTTGCTCCCGATCCTCCTTCATGTCCTTCAGCTGCTGCTGCCATTGCTGGCTCAGGGAATCCTGGGACTTAGACTTCATGGTGGGCTCCAGTCCCGAGCAGGTGATCTTCTCTTCCTTCTCCTCCATCTCCTCCTGCTCCATTTTCTCCTTGCTCATCCCCTCTTCTTTTTCTACCTCCTCTTCCTCTTCCACATCCTCCTCCTCTTCCCCTGGCTCCTCCTTTTCCCTCATTTCCTTCTTCCCTGGCTTTGGTTTGAACCCTTCTTGCTCTTGGCCTTTCCTCTCCTCCCCGAGTTGGCGAGGTGGGGACAGAATGGGCATCAAGTGCGGGCTGTTCTGACTGGCTGAGACCCTGGACGACTGCTTGTTCCAGAACTGGCGGAAGTAAGGCACCTGTTCCACCAGATTTTGATTCACAGCCTCATGGAAGTTCTTGTCCTCCAACAGACCCCTGGGTGGCAGGAATGAGAAGAAGGCCCTTGTTGAGGGAGTCTCAAAGCCACCCCCGTGGCCCCTGGTTTCAAAGTTTCCCAAGTAGCAGCTCTTGCTTACAATCCACAAGCAGGTGATAGGTTGAAGGGGATATCTTTGGTCAGTTGCCTCTCCCACCCTTCTTTAGAGGAAGACTTCTTTGGTCCCTTCGATTCTTGGAAGTGAACATTACATGGCAAAAGAGGGCTGTAGGAGGTCAGGGTCTCACTGATGAGAGTCAAAAGCCCTGAGAGACTATGAACTCCAAATCTCACCAACCCAGTCATGGATGGGCAAGACTTATGACTCAGCCCTGAGGATCCTTCCAGCCAGCTTCCCCCTAGCTGCTCCCTCCCAGGGAGGCCCCTGGGCATTGGTCAAAAGAAGCTACAATGAAAGGCTCGTCTAAAGAAGTTCTTTGGAAGCAGAAGTGGCATCCACTTCTGAAATAGCTTGCCTCCAGAAACACTATGAACTTGGAGAAACAATGAAAGTTATACAAGTGTTCAGGTCTTTTGTTCATAGGGTCACTATGAGTCGTCTATGACTCGACAGCACTTAACAACAATAGCAAAGAAGTTCTTAGAAAAGAGAAGGGTTAAGACCTCAAGGGCTATTTGCAGACCCAGAACTGGCTGAAGAGATGGGAGAGTTAAAGGAATCTATCCTATCTAGAAGATAGGAATTACCTGATGATGGCGGTGAGACAGTCAATAAGGAGTGACTTCTGCTTGGAGACAGGGGCCCACTTGTTGGTGAAATCTTTCTTGGAAATCTCTGGCTCCTCCCCAGGGGACTTCTTCTTTGGCAGTTCCCTGGGGCAGGCCATGACATTTTGAGTGGCCTGGATAAGCCACCATGCTGGGGTTGGGGGCACAAGCAGTGGTGGATGAGTTTGGGAAAGCCTCCTACCTCAAGCCTTAACCCCAATATGATAGCACTGCAGGGGAAGCAAGCCCAATGCTCAGGAAGTGCAGGACCCAGAAAGGGAAGGGACGAGGAGAGGAAGAGGCCTAAGAAGCTTTCCCTGGGTACTTGGGCTGCTTTGCTCCTCTCTGGGATTGCAGTGCAGCTTCTTGCCACTAGGCCACCAGAACTCGCCTGCTTTGCTCCTCTCAAGCGTCCAAGCAGTTAGGAGGTAACTTGAGACCAAGTACCCAGTGAATCAACCAGTGTTGCATCTTCTCCAACCCCTGACCCACAGCTAGGTCTTGGCAGCCCCAACTCAGGAGTAGGGGGAAGGGCAAGATAGCAGAGGAAGGCCACTCCTGTTTCCCTGAGAGATCACCAATACAAGAAGTGGCAGGGAAACTCAGAGAAGAAGTTGGTCAGGAAGGAGTCGGTGTCATGGGCGCGAGCAGTGAGGCCCAGGCAGAGTGTGACTGGCACAGGTGGCTCGGGGTATGGCCAAGAGGACTCGTCCTTTGGGATCTGCAGGCTCCAGCTGGTAGGTTGGTTAAAAGGCTGCTGGTTCTTGATGGGAGGCAGCGTCTTTGGGAAGGAGAAGCCACGGGTAACAAGAATGTAGAGGCTGCATTCCCATCACTCATTGGAAAGAGGGCCTAGCTCTACAACTAAGCCTCATGGGCCACATAGATGTTTGGCCCAGTCATTGGCACACCTCCCTTTTAGATGACTGAGCCAGGGAGAGTAGGCATCTCAGGGAGTTGTAAGTAAGGACCCTCCCAAGTCATCCTCCAAGAAGAAGGGCCTGGGGGTTGTGGTCTCACCTTGTACTTCCTCACGGGCACACAGGCTTGGCAGGACACCCTTCTCTGTGGAAACAAACAGATACCTGCTTAGGATGGTGAGAGGCTCCAGAGAGAATGTCCACTCTCTACCCATTGTGCTGACCCAGGGAAGGCCTGAAGTCAATGCCAAGCCCTGCTGTGTTCTCTGGGTCTTGCCCAACTCCCAGCCACACTCTGTATTGGTACTTTCTAGGGACATGCTGGGCTGGAAGGCAGCCCTGGAGAGTCTGCCTGAGGACAAGGAAAATGTGGTTATCCCAAAGTGAGGAAAGCAAGGATGCCACTAGACACTTGCAGGCTGCCCCAAGGGTGTTGGTTCTCACTGCCTGGGCTCTGTGGTTTAGTGAGATAAGGAAATACCATCTCTTATTAGGGCTTAATGAAGAAATCCTTTCTCTTATACCCCCAGGAAGTTGCATCACACTTAGGGCAAAGATTCAAAGGGGACAATGTTTCCCTGGGGGTTCAGCGTGGTGGACACAGACATGGTCAGAGTGAAGGAATTCCTCAACAAGTTGGACTGACGTGTCACTTATTAAATACATAAAAGAAGGAATGGTCAGCCAGTCTTCTCTACCCACAATGTTTCATTCAAGAGCTGTGCACATGTTATGTTTAGTCTAATTAATTTAATCTCTTATGGTGGGTTATCCAGTTTTGCATGCAAAAACACCTTGGACTACACCTTGATCCTCTCTGATAAGCCAGTTGGAAAGACCTGGTGTGGCCCAGACCCACTCAGTCCTCCTCACCGTCACTTTCCTATCTGTGATGGTGAATTCCACTTCCTGCCGCACTCTCTCTTCCTGCCACTTCTGTAATTCCTTCTGGTACTGTCTCAGGAGTTTCTGCTGGTACACCTGTGGTCCAGGACAATGAGAGAGAAGACCAAGGTCTGGAAGAGTCTGAAGCCAGGCCTTGCGTTCGGCCTCTGCTGGGGGCTCTCCACCCTTCTGGTGGCTGGCCCTAAACTCTCTCTGGTAGTTTGGGGATTGTAAGGTCCACTCCAGCCTCCACCTTTTATTGGGACTGGTCCTTACCTTGCACACCAGGTCCATGCTGTAGAAACCAGGATGTACTGAAGCCTTCAGCATCACCACAAATGGGACTGTCCCTTCAGGAGCCACCTCTCCTACCTTGGGGCTTACAGACACCTATCAATGTGGGGAAATGCTCTCTGGAATTTCACTGGGGTGAGATGAGATGGGATTGGGTGGATAGGATGAGATGAGATGTGGGGGCAGGTAGGATGGGGAATGGGTGAAAGGGAGTAAGGTGCTATGAGAATTAACAGACTGGGCCATGGGCTCTGCCTCTGCAGGTTCTCCTTCTGGTCCAGGGGATACTCACCTCCCCAAAGTCAAGCAGCTTCGTCGGCCAAGAAAAGACAATCGTCTCATTCTTGGAGATATTGTTGAGGAACAGCAAGCGGCTGCATTTGCTCTGCACAGGGATGTTTCCCAGGGAGATATGGGACTGGGACAGGAAGACAGTCTGTTGGTGGAGACCGTGACTTTGGTTAGCAGTGCAACATGCTCCAGATTATGCCACCAGAGCTCCTTGATAACGGCAACTTTGGGAAGGGACTCTCCTTTGACCAGCCAGCTGCCATGTTAAACACTCCATGTGCATTTGACCTTCATAATGGTCATGCTGTAGGTGGTACTTTTGTCTTTGCTTTACAGATGTGCCATGGAGGTTTAGGGAGTGTAAGTAATTTCCCAAAGATCTTTCACATATATAGCTGGTATAAACCCTGACAGTCTCACTCTAGAGCTTTTGCTTTTGACCATTAAACTAAGGTTGGAAGGGCTGAGAGAATCTGTAGTGGCTTAGTTAAGACAGGACAGCAGTTGCATTAATCTCTGAAGGATAGTTTATAAAGAATAGTCAACTCCTTGATATGACTGATACGATAGGTTAGATGGCTCTTGGCTGACTAGAGAGAGTCCTAGAAGGATGCATATTTGTGTTTTATTGACTATGCAAAAGCATGTGACCATGTGGATCATAACAAATGATGGCTAACATTGAGAAAGATGGAATGCCAGAACATTAATTATGCTCATATGAAATCTCTTTTTTTATATCAAGAAGCTGTTATCTGAACAGAACAAGGAACACACACATGGTTTAAAATAGGAGAGTGTGCACCGGGGTTGTATCCTTTCTCTACACCTATTCAACTGGTTTTCCTCATTTAAATTGACTTCCAACCTGGGCTCTACAACTATCTGTGTTCCTCTATTGTTCATAAGCTTGTTATTTAAGAAGCAGATGGCCAATCCTGTTTCCTAGTCTGTCTTAATCTGGGAACTTTATTAAAATCTGTCCACTATGCATTACCCTTGTGGCATTTGACACACTGGTGGCATAACCTTTAGCATTACAACAACTTATAGGTTATCTCAATACAGCAAACTTACAGACAAGTACTGTACTAATTAGAAAAATGTATCCCACAAATACAACAAACTGACAATTTAGTGTTGGACCTCTAGTAGAAAATCAGGCTTCACCTGAGCCCCAAGGGCCTGTGGCCTGAGGGCTCAATCATCTATTTATCACAAAGGCCCACCTCCCAAGACCTAGATGCTTTAAACAAGAGGCACCTCACCTCCAACCAAAATAAAGATGAGGAAAAACAATGGCAAACATCCCCCAATAATTGGAGCATGCACTGTATGAAGCATGAATGTGGGAAAACTAGAAGTTGTGAAAAACGAAATGGAATGCTTGAACATTGACATTATGGGCATGTGTGAGATAAAATGAACTAGCTTTGGCCACTTTGAATCAGATAATCCCATGGTATACTCTGCTGGGAATGAAAAACAGAAGAAGAATGGTGTTACATTCATGTTGTTGTTGTTGTTAAGTGCCGTCGAGTCAGAGACGACTCATAGCGACCCTATGAATGAAAGACCTGGGCACCAATTTTAAGTTCTATCCTGAAGTACAATGTTGTGACAGTTATTATTCATACACATACAACAAAGACCTGTTAATATGACTATTATTCAAATATAAGCTTCTCCAGCTATAGCCAAAGGAGAGGACATTGAACATTTTTACCGAATCTTGCAGTCTGAGACTGACCAAACATGCAGTCAAGATGCATTAATAATAATTAGTGACTAGAACATCAAGAAGGCAAAACAAAGGGAAAAACAGCCAAAGTAAAAGAGCTGAACAAAAGATTTCAAAAGACAACTTGAGAAGACAAAGAGTATTATAATGGAATATGCAGAGTTGGAATTGGAGAATAAAAGGCGAAGAACTCACTCTTCATTTCTTAAGCTGAGAAAACGGAAAAATAAATTTAAGCCTCAAGTCGCAGTACTGAAAGATGCTATGGGCAATATGTTGAATGATCCAGGAAGCATCAAAAGAAGATGGAGGGTCACAGATGGATACACAGAGTCACTGTACCAAAAAGAATTGACTGACACTTAAAAATCTTATTAAGTATCATATGAACAGGAGCCAAAAGTAGTCGAAGAGGAAGTTAAAGCTGCATTGAAGGCATTGGCAAAACATAAGGCCTCAGGAATTGATGGGATACCAACTGACTTGTTTCAACTAACAGAGCAGCCCTGGATGCACTCACTAATCTATGCTAGGAAATTTGGAGGACATCTGTCTGGCCCAGTGATTGGAGGAGGCTCATATTCCCATTCCTAAGAAAGATGATCCAACAGGATGTGTAAACTATTGAACAATATCGTTAATATCACATGTAAGCAGCAACAACAACAACGACAGCAGAAGAGAGAGAGCAGTTGACCTAGTGGACAGAAAGTCATGCTCCCAAGCCAAATGAGGGTGACTCTAATCCTCAGCCCTGCCTTTGCTTGTTTTTGGTGAAACATTCTTGTAGGTCGTGTAACCCTGATATGTCCACTTGCTGTACAGAGGTAACTCGTGGTTGCTTTAAAGCTGAACACTGTGACACTGATGAGTCAAATGCAAGAATGGTTACCCGTGATGGACAGTGTCTGGTGGAGCTTCCCAATTAAAACAAGCTTGGAAGCAGGAGTGGCATCCACTTCCATAATAGCTTGCCTCGGGAAACCTCATGCATGAACTTGGAGAAAAGACGCAAGTTATACCAGTGTCCAGGTCTTTCGTTCATAGGGTCACTATGAGTCCCTTCTGACTCGACAGCACTTAACAACAACAACAAGCAAAATACTGTTAAAGACCATTCAAAAACACCTAGCACAGTACATAGAGAACTTCCGGAAGTTCAAGCAGGACTTAGAAGAGGCCATACTTCCAGGGATATCATTGCTGTGTCAGATTGATCCTGGCTAAATGTAAAGAATAACAGAAGAATGTCTATTTATGCTTTATTGACTATGCAAAGGCATTTGACTGTGTGGATCATAACACATTGTGGCTAACATGGAGAAGAATGGGAATTCTGGAACACGTAATTGTACTCATGTGAAACCTAGACCAAGAGGCTATTGTGCAAAAAGCAAAGGCACACTACATACTTTAAAATTTAAAGGAGTGTGTTAGCATTATAGTCTTTCTCCATACCTATTCAATCTACATGCCGAGCAAATCATACAAGAAGTTGGATTGCAAGAAGAAGAATGTGGCATGATCAAAGGAAGACTCATCAATAACTTGCATTATGCAGATGACACTTGTTGCAGAAGATCAAAGAACACAGCCTTCAATATGGGTTACATTTCAATGACAAGAAAACAAATTTTTACCTCTGGACTTATAGACATCATCATGATAGATGGATAAAAGATTGAAGTTGTCAGTGATTTCATCTTACTTTGATTCACAAAGAACATCCTTAGTACCAGCAGTCAGAAAATCAGGAGACATTTTGCATTGGGAAGGAAACTCTGCAGTCAAGGATCTCTCCAAATTATTGAGAAGCAATGATGTCAGTTTGAGGACTAAGGTGTGTCAGATTCAGGTCATAGTCTTTCTGACTATGCACTTGCTATGCATCTGAGAGTTGGACAATGAGTAAGAATGACAGAATTATTGATGCATTCGAGCTGTTAGAGTGGGAGAAGAGTACTGCACATCCCATAGACTGCCAAAAGAACAAACAAGTATGTCATGGCGAGGGTGCCACCAGAGTGCTCCTTGGAAGAAACAATGATAAAGCTTCCTCTCACATACTTTGGGCATGTTGTTAGGAGAGGCTGTTCCTTGGAGAGGGGCATCATGCTTGGAAAGGTGGAGGGTCGGCGAAGGAGAGGAAGACCTTTAACCAGGTGGATTGACACAGTGACTGCCACAGTGGGCTCAGGAAGTGTGAGGATGGCACAGGATATGACAGGGTTCAGATCTGTTGTTCACAGGGTCGCTATGGTCTGTGTTTGACTCAACAGACCTACTAACAACAACCTTCAATTTGTATGCTGAGCAAATAATTTGAGAAGCTGGACTCTATGAAGAAGATTGCAACATCAGGTTTAGACTCTTCAGCAACCTGCATCACGTAGTTGGCACATTTTGCTTGCCAAAAGTGAAGAGGACTTGAAATATTTCCTGCTAAAGATCAAAGATTACAGTCTTCAGTATGGACTACATCTCAACATTAAGAAAACAAAAATCCTCACCACTGGCAACATCATGATAGATGGAAAATAGACTGAAGTTGGCAGTGACTGAATTTTACATGGATCTACAGTCAACACCCATAGGTAACAGCCGGCAAGAAATCAATAGAGGTTGCATTGGGAAAATCTGCTGTCAGGGACCTCTCCAGAGTGCTAAAGAGCAATGATGTCACACTGGAAAGACTAGAGTGCCTGATTCAAGCCACAGTCTTCTCAATTACTTCTTATGCATGTGAAAAACAGTAAGAATGAAGGAAAATTGATGCCTTTGAGCTGTGGTGTTGGAGAAGAGTACTGAATATCTCGTGAACTGCCAAAGAACCAGTCTGTCTTGGAGAAAGTGCAACCAGGGTGCTCCCTGGAGGCAAGGGTGATGAAACTTCATTTCACGTACTTTAGGCCTATTGTCAAGAGGACCAGTCCTTGGAAAAAGATGTCATGCTGGGAAAGGAGGAAGATCAGAGGAAGAGAAGACCCTCAACAAAATGGATTGACACAGTGACTGTAACAGTGAGTTTGAGTTCACCAGACATGGTGAGGATGGCACAGGTCAGGAAAAGTTTCAGATCTGTTGTTCACAGGGTCACTATGAGTTGTAGTGGACTCGATGATGAAATCAATGAGTCCATGAAAGCTTTCAGCGTCTTTATGGGGTACAGAACAGGAACTGTACTGTCAGAGTATCAGCAAAGACTAAGACCATACGGAAGAATCCTTTCCCTCTGCCTAGACCCTGAGTGTCTCCAACAAGGAAAATTTGTTAGGTTTTTCTCTGTCTCCAGGACCTGTACAATATTCATCTAAGAATAGTCCTCTAACTATATCTGAACGGATGAATGGGCAAGTGGATATCTGGGTGGACAATGACTTGATGGATGTGTGTCTTGATGTGTGTCTGAGTCAGTGGGTGAATGACTGAAGGTGTAGATTGGTAGATGGATGGATGAATGGACTAGGTCTCTAAACATTGAGGAATGTGAATAAAAGGCAGTGTTACATTGTTCAGCAAAATCCATCTAGGTCAGGGCAGGGGCTTGTATGTATGAAGATAATACACAAGAACTCTAGAAAGATCTTCTTTGTACACTATTCAATAGCCCCAACCCCACACCAGCAGAGGGGGACCAGAAGGAGACCCCTGCAGCAGGAAGAATGGAATGAGCATGAGCATCTGTGGGCACTAGGTGGCAGGGTAAACCTCTTCTGAAGCTAGTTCAGCCTCTTAAATCTGGAGAAGGCTAGCTGTAGGCCTCACCTCTGCAGCTCTTCCTTCTCAGCCCCATCTTCAAGCCAGTCCAGCCTTCTGTCTGCACTGTGCACCTTGGGCCCTCATGCTCTCCCCTGAGGCTTAGGCTTTCCAAGGCTCCTTTCTCCTACCTGTCCAGGAACCATTAGCCGAACGTGGGTGGAGCTGTTGTCCAGCGAGGAGGTGTGCTGGAATGGGGCTGCGTCTCCCATGACTTGGGGGTCATAGCCTGCCCCCTGGAAGCGGATGAGGGCTGAGTTCCACCCCAAGATGTGTATGGGCACGTCCACCTGGGAAGTCAGCAGGGTCAGGGTGGGTGGTCAGAGCAAGGCCTCCTGAGGGAAGCAGTGGCCACTTCCCACCTCATGACTCCTGACCGCTGCTCACCGTGTAGGTCTTGGCTTCAATAGGTGAGAATATCCAAAGGATCTGGGCAGTTGTACCAGGCCGGATCTCCCCTTGCGGGTTGAGGCAGCAGAAGATGGGGTGGTCAAAGTTTTGTTTCTGAATCTGTAGTAGGATGTTGGTCTGGATCTCATATGTCACAGGCACCGAGCCCCCATTGTACAGCTCATAAATCTGCAAGGGGCAGGAATGGACAACTCTCCACACCAGCGCAGGACTACAATTCCGAGACTGTAGGGTCCCGTGTCCATTGCAAGAGGACAGGTTGATCTCGATAATGCCGCTTTTAAAGTCTCAGAGCTCCCCAAAATCCCCCTAGGTGTAGTCCTGCTCAACGAAGGGTGAGGGAGTGGAGGGACAGTCTGAAGTCCCCAAGAACTAAGTCCAGAGGTTGGGAACCACACAGTGTCCGGAGAAAACCAGAGATCTTCTTGTCTAATCGCTTGTATAGATGAAATCAAGGAGAGTAGAGTTTATACTTTCTCTCTCTCTCTCTCTCTCTCTCTCTCTCTCTCTCTCTCTCTCTCTCAACACTCACTCTAGAGTAAGCTGATTGCATTTCTCTAGTCTGGGTCACTCCTTGGAACTCCAGACCCTGTAGCCTATTTTACCTGCCAACCCCTCTTGGTTATCTCACTGGCATCTTAATTTTGGCCAAAACCAAACTCTTTCTTCTGAAACCTATTCCTCCTTCTGTTTCTCCCCTCTGCACATGGGACCTCTGACACTTACAGTGGCTCAGACTAGGAATCTAATATGCCCTCCTCCCTTATTCTTCTCATATTCAATCTTCAGCAAGTTCCAATGATTCTACCACCAAGATGTGTATAAAATCTGTCCACTTCTCTCTCTCTAATGCTCACTCACAGACCCAGGTGATTCTTATCTTTCATCATCTCATGAGTGGAAGGTATCCTGGCTGCCATGGTGAAGGTGGGATGGAGGCACAGCAACCCCCTTGGCTGTGGGTGTGGGCTCCCCTGTTGCTAACACCCAGGGCCACAGGGAAGTGGTCTGCCCTTGTTAGGAAGCTCACTGGGGCCATAAGAGTCTTCTAGTCTAGACTTTTCTGGATTTCTATAGGGTTTCCAGGCCCAAATGGAGCCCCACCTCTTTCAGAACAAGAAACCTCATTTCTCTACCTTGAGGATGAATGGTCAGAGATCTTGCTCAGAAACACACAGAATTCTAAACGGGGAGAAATGTCACAGCTGTGAGATGTGTGGGAAAAATATCTTGGGGATTTCCAATGTATATTTTCTTTAGATCAAAAGAGCCCAATTCCCTTCATTTAATAAAGAAAGTTCTAGATCTTCCTGAGGGGTCACGTTCTGACTTTTCTCACTCCACACAGGAGCAACGCTTTTAAGTTCTGTGTCTGAGACATGCTGGCGAGTGGGCCATGGGGTCAATCTAGTGGGTCATAGCTGTCATTTTTTTAACAAAGGGACAGAATAAAATTTAAAAATATGGTATCAGAGTACTTTGCCATGTAGTAGCTTAAGTGTCCCTGGGTGACACAACTGATTTGAGTCCCACTGTCAAGCTTAGACAGTTCGAATCCAGCCAGGTGGTGTCTTGAACCAGAATAGGCTCAACAACCACTAGCAATGATTACTCAAGAGCAGGTTTGGGGTCCTAATTGGGCTCCAATTGGCTAAGCATTTATATATTCTGGATCACAATCTAGAAAATATACTAGTGTGTTTCAAGCTCAGAGAAGTTTGAACAACCCTGTTTGATAGGAAAGAACCCCTGCTTTTCACAGACATGAGGCCTGTCAAAAGGTCTTAGTACCAGGCATGAGGGACTGACGTCTCTTGTTTGGGGTTTCTCCCAGCTGCTTCCTCTCAGTTTCATCCTTCTGGCCCATCTCCTAGAGTGGAGGCTCCAGGAGGAGGGGTCTCTGCCACCTTATCAAAGGTTGACATAGATACACAGACATGGATGCTCGGGTCCTGCAGTTACCAGGATGGCACAGACCACTGACCTGCCGTGGGGGCATCGTGTCGCTGATGGGGATGGGGGCAAACTGATGGCTGGTGGAGGGAAAATGCACATACTTCTGCCCCAGCTCCACTGTCACACCTATGAAATTGAGCTTGAAACACAAAGTTGCATGAGTAGAAGCCCAGCCAGGGAGGAAGGGAAGTCCCCACAGAAAGATGTGGACCTCGGTTCCCGGGGACCATCACTCCCTGCTTCGCTCCTGCTGTCCAGAGAGCTCCCTCGCCTCTGGCCTGAGACCCAGGACAAGGTGCTGGGGCCTCACCAGGATCTCCCGGCCATGGGACACCTTGAAGAGCACTGGGAGGCGATCGGTGCCAATGAACAGGTGGCTGGAAGGGAGGAGAGAAACCCAAGGGTGACTTCTTGAGTCTGGGACAAGGACCGGGACATGTAAATAGCATGTCTGTGGCTTTGAGCAGGCTAGTCCTTAAAAGCATGTGGAGACCTGAGTGGGGACTGGGTGAGGGGTACTGAACTAGGCCCAGGTCCATCTGCAGGTTGGGAAGAAGTCCACCCCAGGGTGGTGCCTGCAGTTCTGCAGGAGGCAGGGGGCAGAGGGTCTCAGGACTAAAAGTGCAGAGTAGAGGCTGAAGAGAGCACCTGTACTTGAACTCCACCACCTGCTCCTGCCCGGGACTCAGCTTGCCAGCCTTGGGGCTAATGCAGAAGAGGTGGTTGTCCTGCACACGCATCTGGTGCAGTTCAGTGCAGTTTAACGCTGCTTGCTCCGCCCACAGCTCCATGTCAATCTGCTGGTCACTGGGAAAGAGGAAGGCCCTGGGAGAGGGGTGGGCACACGGGAGTGAAGTTATGCACAGGCTGTCAGTCAGAAGAGCATGCGGAGCTCTGAGCCCTGGGGTGCGGTTTGGAGAGGAGGCCCTCCAGCCTTCCCTGCTCCACCCTACAATGAATGCAAGCTCCCATGCACAGCTGAGCAAATGTGACTTTTGTAGACTCTTGTTTCATTTTCGCCCCCAAACCTGTAAACAGACACAAGGCTATAGCAACAGATGCAAAGTGAAGGTTGAGGTTCTCGTGGGTGCTGGGGATGGGGTTTGCAAGGGTGACTCGTAAATGTGGGTCCCTCTGAGCTTCCCACTAACCCTGGAGGGGTTTTCTGCACTGCAGCTCTAGGAACTGGGCCACTGAGGCTCTGAGGAATGCCAGCAAGACAGATAGGGGGTTCCCTGAGAAGAAGGGGTTTGGGCCAGCTTGGTTAAAGGGGCAGAGAGCAGGCACTTGGCATGTGGACACCTGAAACCGAAGCAGGGCTGTGTGTATAGTTGTTAACTGCTGTCTGCTCAGTGCCAGGCATGTAGTAACTGCAGTTCTGTACCACACCTACAACTGCTTGTGGACCAGGCTGTTGTGACACACGGATATTTCACTGGATGATTTTTTTAAAATACGTATATAAGGGAAGGCTCCTGTCACAAACCAGGCAAAGGGATGAACAAGCAGCATCCAACAGGGAAAAGGGGAATTGCCTGCAAACCTCTCAAAGGCCTCAACAGGGGTCAGGGAAATGCAAGTGAAACTCTCACAGGCAATCACTGTGACAGTATTTCACCTCCAAAACGTGAGACGGTATTTCTACTCAATGTTGGTACCTTTAGAGAGAACAGACACTTTCAAACTTAGCTGGTGAGAGAGAAATTCCTTCTGGAAGGAATATTGGCAGCAGCATCAGTTAAATTAAGAGATGTATAAACACTCTGACTTGGAAATCCCACTGAGGACCTTAAATGCAGGAATAACTCTCTCTCTCTCTCTCTCTCTCTCTCTCTCTCTCTCTCTCTCTCTCTCTGTGTGTGTGTGTTCACCACAGATGTAGGGTGCTTACTGCAACCTTCTTTGAAGTGGCAAGAAACAAATGATGCCTGGCAGTTAAGCAGAAGGTTATGAGCTTAAAGTCCATCCATATTCTGGACCTCTGCTGGGCATTGTGGAATGAATTCTAACTCATTGTGACCCCATGCTATAGAGCAGAGCTGCCCACAGTGTTTCCTAGGCTATGGGAGTTTATGGGAGTAGAATGTCAAACCTTTCTCCTGGGGAGCCACTGGCGAGATTCAAACTACCAACCTTTCACGTAACAATTAAGTGCTTAAGTTCAGGGCTCTATTATATTGTAGCCCATTAGGAAAACTTGTGTGAGAAATATGGGCAAGTTCCTCTTGTGTGATTTACAGCCTTGGAAACCCAATGGGGGGTGAGCTATGAGTCAATTCCAACTCAACAGTAATGAGCAAGTGAATGTGTGTAGTGTTTGGTGGCAAAACTGGAGATCTTCCTACTCTGAGGTCCTCTGGAGTGTTAAGGTCTCCTTTGTCCTCACCTCTTACATCCAGTCTCCTTCCCACCTTCCCCCCCACCCGTTCTCTGTGTGCACTTCCTGTCCCCATGTGGACACCTACAGCAGACCCCTGAGTCCCCTGGCCCCACTCCTGTCTATGGTGAGTCCATCTTCCCTCAGTGAGAAATCTCGAAAGCAGACCAGGTCCTTGGCCCCGTCCCCACCTTCAACACCACCAGTGCCTTCAGGAAGAAGTGGAAACTCCCTGGAGGATCCCAGGATCCGCCTGACCTGCAAGGAGCCCTGGTGATGCAGAGGTTAAGCACTTAATTGCTAACCAAAGACTGGTGATTAAAATCCACTAGCTACTCTTTTGGAGAAAGCTGCGGCCAGTCTGTTTCTGTGACATCTACTTTATAGCACAGGGGTCACCATCAGTCTGTTCCATGGCACCTAGCACCAACAAAAGCCTGGTCTGGCCCCTGCCCCCTCCCCCTAGCTGCCCTGCCTCTGATGCTCAGACTCTGTGTACCTTTCTGTCAGAGCACATGCCAGCCTGTCTGTAAGCAAGGGCCTCCCAGGTCCCACTCCCTCTTCACCGGGTTGGTATACCTGGTTGCAGGTAGAAGGCAAATGAAGTGGTCTTCAGGAGGTCCTTGTGCTGTGCCCACTCCCAGCACTTTCAAAACAAAGTGCAATGATCCACTGAGTCTGCCTGGCAGCAAATCTCTCACCCCAGAGAGACCTGGGTTAGGAACCAAGGCCCATCAAGTTTCTCTTCTCAGGACCCAGCCAACACCTGCACCTAAGCAACAACCTGCAGTATGTACACAGCACAACTTTGCTTGTAGAAAGTGAAGAATTTCAGTCACAAAAGGACAAATATTGCATAGGGCCACTTCTGTATAACGGGACTGATGTCGGGATTGAGGGAAAGCAGAGAAGGAGGGGAGGAATGATGTATACTGCATTGAAACAGATGAGGGAGAGAATTGTTTAAAATTTAGGAATATATGATTGGGTATTATTGTCATGACAGGAGTCCAGAATGAAGTCTGCACAGTGGAGAGGACTTGGGTGGAGGGATTGCATAACAATGAAAGAGGTTTTTCTTTTACTTTTCAAAATGAGGAGTGAATTGGGGGAGGGGCAGGCAGGGAGAAAAGGGTAACAATGAATGACTGGAAACTTTCATTAAAATTAATTAAAAAATTAAAAAAGGGAAGTGGCGAAGACTGGAAACACCTGCCACAGAAGATCAAGGATAGTGTGTGGTACGGACTACATTTCAACATCAAGAAAACAAAAATGCTCACTACCGGACCAATAGGCAATATCATGATTGTTGTTGTTGATTGTCGTTGGGTCGAGCATGACTCATAGTGACTCTGTGAACAAAAGGCCTGAAGCCTTCCTATAACTAGTAACATTTATCAAAGTTCATAGGGTTTCTAGAGGCATGTTGTTTAGGAAGTGGATGCCACACCTGCTTCCAAACATCATGATAGTTGGAGAAAAAAGTTGTCAATGATTTAATTTTACTTGGCTCCACAATCAACACCCACAGTAACAGCAGTCAAGAAATTAAAACTTGTGCTACACTGGGAAAATCTGCTGTCAAGAACCTTTCCAAGGGAACTCTGGTGGCCTAGTGGCTAGAAGCTGCACTGCAATTCCCCGAGGTACGTGGTTTGACTCCACCAGATGCTCTGCTGGAGAAGGAGGGACAATTTTTTTCTTGTACCAGTCAGATCTGATTTGATGGTACACACAACACAAAATAATTTTTTTTTTAAAAAAAAGAACCCTTCCAGGGAGCTCTGGTGGCCTAGTGGCAAGAAGCTGCACTGCAATCCCAGCGGTGTATGGTTCGAATCTACCAGATGCTCTGCTGGAGAAGGAGAGACAATCTCCTCCTGTACCAGTCAGATCCAATTTGACGGTACACATACAAAATAATAATAACATTTTAAAAATATTTTTAAAAAAGAACCTTTGTAAGTATTAAAGAGCAACAATGTCAGTTTAAAGAGTAGGAGACACCTGGTCCAAACCATGGTCTTTCCAGTTACTTGTTATGCATCTGAAAGTTGGACAAAAAGATGGCAGAGGAGTTGCTACCTTTGAGTTGCAGTGTCGGAGAGGAGTACTGAATATCATATGGATTACCAAAAGAACATTCAAGTCTGTCTTGGGGGAAGGGCAGCCAGGGAGTCAAGGATGGTGAAACATCATCTCACAAACCCTGGACATGATGTCAGGAGGGGCAAGTCCTTAGAAAAAAGACTTGATGCTGGGAAAGGTGGAGGGTCAGAGAAAGAGAGGAAGATCCTTAACTGGATGGGGTGACATAGGAACTGTCTCAATGGGCTCGAGTGCATCAGAGAAGGTGCAGGACGGGCCAAGGGTCAATTGTTTACAGGGTCACTATGAGTCGTAATCCAGTCAATGGCACATAACAACATCAACAATAGGCATCACCCAGTAAATGTCTACTTGGTGTGTTAATGACTGAAAAAATGAGATGAAGCTAATGCAAGGCTCTGTGTCTCCCTGGGCTGAGCAAGCAGAGAAAGGCTTTAAAAGGCAGAGTCCAGGAGGGGAGTGGGGCCTCCGCGTGGCTCTCTATCCCCCCTGCCCCTTGGGGTTATACTGTCGTGCAGCCAGGCCAAGTTCACTCTCCCCTTTACTCACTGGCCTTGGCAGGAACAAAACTCTCAGTCTGTTCTTTATGAGCTCAGCAGAGGCAGGCTAGAATTTTCAAAAATAGCCTTCTAAGAAATAGAAAACACAACACAAAGGGCCAGGGGAAGCCAGCCTCTTACGGCTGGCGCCCGGTGCCTGGAATCCTCGAAGTGGCACGGACTACCTTCCTGAGCTCAAACCAGCTCCTGATGGATGGGCCAGCTCAGCAGGGCATGCTGCCCGGGCTTCCTCTCATCTCAGTGTCCAGCGCCTGGACCCTTTCCACGGAGTGAGTGGAGCCGTGACCCACCAGAGCCCCCTCCCTTGTTGCAGGACACAAGGCCAGCGGTGCCTTGCCTGCTGCTCCAGCCCCAGGGCCTGGCTCCTCGCCCATCTGGGCGCCCAGAGAAAGGCTGAGCCAGAGTGCAGGCAGAGCCAGGCCCTTCCCCAGCCTGGCCTGCAGCTCTGCCAAGCTCTTCCATGACTGAGGGCAGGCGCTCAGTGGCGCCCCCTTCTCTACATCCTCCACCACAGGAACATGCCAGAGGGTAAGGGGGTACCACCAGGCACCCAGTCCTCACCCCACCTACCCCACACCCTCCTATCACAGGAACATGCCAGAGGGTAAGGGGGTACCACCAGGCACCCAGTCCTCACCCCACCTACCCCACACCCTCCTATCACAGGAACATGTCAGAGGGTAAGGGGGTACCACCAGGTACTCAGTCCTCACCCCACCTACCCCACACCCTCCTATCACAGGAACATGTCAGAGGGTAAGGGGGGGTACCACTAGGTACCCAGTCCTCACCCCACATACCCCACACCCTCCTA